TTAGGGTTTAGGGTTTACGGTGGAGTCGAGGTGGAGAGGAAGCCCATTTCCTTAGGAATTACTTTTTCCAGCTTCCTTATGTAAATGAAAAGAAGTTATCGAACAAACAATACCTCTTATGTACATCCCTACTGAGGAATTACTTGAAGAAAGCTATGTTTTTACTCTGGTAGAACCCTAAACCAAAATAATATGTTTATTACAGGGTTTGGGGAAATGACGACAGAGGAAACCTTGGCTGCGTACTTGAAACGCCTGTGGTACCTCACCGAGGATGATCCCGACGCTCATTGCGCTTCTGGGCTGTTGTTAAGAGGAGCCCTAGGGATCCAAGTAGGGGTTCTGGGTTTAGGGTTCAGGGTCATTCGGCCCTAAAGCCTGTAGATATTGCCTACATGGGGCTATTTGGATCCCTAGGAGAGCTGAAGTTACCTCAATATGGATGGTTTTGGTATATAGCAAATACTAGGGTTTCCTTCTTCTTGTAACTTAACCTAAGTCCCCGAACAGCAACCCAGGTTTTCATGGCTATCAATAGGCGGGCCATGATGAGCAACAAGCCTGCAAAGTTTCAGGCTGAACTCGGGCTTCATGAGTCCCTCCAGGCCATCTATGCACGCTTCTCTTCTCCAATGAGGGAGCTTGTGGGCTGCTTTACACATTGTGAGCTGGGTCAAGCCATGGGTTGGATTCCAGCTGCTGATGACAGCAAGCTCAGGGCAAAAGTGATCCAAGTTGGCAACGAAGCCAAATCAAAGCAGAAGAAGATCACCCGCGACCTGGAGGAAGCGGCCCTACGAGCCCTTTGCATCCCAGAACTCCGCTTACCTCGACACAAACGCTCTGTTTGGATCGGGGTTATCCTAGGCGTTGGGGCCAAGAACCAAGGACAACATGCATATGTAGAGCTGGCCGATCCACCGATGGAGGTGAAAGTGTACCTGCGCTTGCGCGGCTGCCCGCAGCTGTACAAAGTGACTGGATCGCTGTTAATAAGGAATTTCGACTAAGCTGCCGTATTATGGGTTTATAGTAAATAATAGGGGGTTTCTTTAATTCGAGTAACTTGATCTGAGTCCTTAACAGCAACTCAGGTGAAGGAAGGGGTCACGCTGCTCCCAGCTGAGCTCGAGGCACGCAGCTGGAGGGTAGGTGAGCGCGTCGGGCTGCGCGTGACCAAAGTGCTTCCACCCAAGGACTCGGTCAAGGGCTCAGGGGACGAAACTTCACCCAGCTCCCAAAAGGGTTCGAAATTCTTGTTCGAGTTTGTGGAGCCAGCGCCCGCCGAACAGTATGCAGAGCAGAGTCACAAGATGTGGGCCGAGATTCATCTTGGGTCCAGTGCAGGCGTTCTCTAAGTGCAAATTCGGTTGCCAGGAGTCTCAAGAAGAGCCTCTCAGCCAGTTGGCATGCCAGAAAAGACACACAGCAACACACAACTCAAGCACAGCTTATCTTCACAGTGTCGCATGAAGAGGTATGGCTCAGCCAGGCTTGGTTACACTTATGATCCATGTGTGCATAGAGCCTCGCATTGGCCTCTCCAACTGTTGTTGGGGAAGCCAACTCTCTGTTCTGCTTTTCAAGGCCACTGCCAAGCATACGGCCAGGAGGGGAGACTTTGCGTTTTGATGGGCTGATGAGAATACACCCGAGCTCCTGATTTAATCAACCCCTTCCTTATTAGGAACTTAACATTCGGATCCCTTTTGTAAGCCCTATTAACTCACTTACGTACTGGCGGGTACTAGGGACGAAGGGAATAAAGTATATAGGGGTTATAATATTGGGATTGTGTATTCCTTGATTCATTACTCACCACCAGTAAGCTACGGCGAGGGGTTTTTATGAAAGGGGTTTACTACAGCACCATGCAGCATGCAACAACTGTCGCCTCCTACCATGCGAAGGGCAGAGCCAACGGGTGCAGTTAGGGTTTTTGTGGTTAGGAATAAGGGTTCAGGGATTAGGATTTAGGGCGTTACGCGGCAAATGACATGTTGATTGTTCGATGTGAGTTGGTGTGACCCCAGTCCATGCCAGGATCTCCGCCAAAGCCTCGCCACGCGCACGGCAAGGCGTCTCGAGCGACAGAGAAAGAGCAAATGTTTTTTTTTGGGATGCCAATGAGGATTGTATTGGGGTCCCCCATTTAAACTGCCAAATACTGTCGGCGACTCACAGATACAATGACGACCCCCCAAACCATTGTGGACCAAACTTGCATTAAGAAGACTGCTGCGTGGTGGTATACAGGGCTGGCTGTTGACACAGGGACTGCCGTATGATTTTCGCAAAGACGTCACTGTTGACTTCTTGCTGCGTTGCTCAGGTCCTTTGAGCAAACAGGCTCCCTCACGCCCTGGATGCAAAGAGCCTTCCGGTCAGATTAGGCTGTAGGGGAGTAGATAGTGTTAGTAGGGTTCCGGGATGTGTTATACTCGATGTATACATGGTTATATGGGAATAGTTAGTTGGTATCTATAGATATTCTTACTTAGCCAATAGAAGAGCTTCAACCTTTTTAAGCTTCCTTTTTGGGTCTCTATATTATTGTTTGAACTGTTTTAGCCCTGGTTACTCGGGAAGAGCGTATTCAGGTAGGCTGACATGTGAGTTTCAATTTTACAGGCACCACTGGAGCTTTAGGCAAGTGCCCGGGAATGTCCTAAAGTCATTCCTTAGGGATCCAAGTAGACAAGCAATACCTACATTGGGCCCCAAAGCCTGTAAATATTACCTACATTGGGCTATTTGGATCCCTAGGCATTACCTAGTATAGATCACACTAGTATCGCGTACTATCCTTACGTCTGACTCCTTGAAAGTAGCCCCAAAACTTGGGAAAGTTAAGCTGCCTGAGGCTGCAACCCACACAGGGAGCTCGAAGTGCGCAGCCAAAGGGCCAACACCCAGGGCCCACAGAGGCAGGGTTTAGGAGTTCAGGTTTGAGGGTCTAAGGTTTGGGTTCCTCCAGAAACCCTGAGGGTCCGAGTCAAGTACGTTCCCAGAACCTATACATGAGCTATAATCTAAACTCCTTAACGGGTTATGTAAGGGCTTCTACTTTATATGGGGGACTACTACTGGGAATGTTAAGGGGTATACCCTGAGCAGACTATGGTTCACATGGTTATTACTATATTACCCAAATCCCAACCACTCAATGATTGGGTATTTGAACCCTAAACCCTACACCTTAAACCGCGTTTAGGGGTCTAGGGTTTGGGGCATGGTGACATTAGGATGCAAACGCTATGGTTCCCCTTTCTGTAGTGGCTTAAGTGGAAATATGTTGGGGCGATGACTCACTTGTATTACCATCAAGCATGCCACATTTCCCGGCTTGGCATGGGCAAGGAGTCTGCATTTACGACAAACCACCATTTCTTTGACATGACCTGTTGTTTGGCCCCTCTCCCCCTTAAGTCCGCTATGCCCTCCCTTAAGCTCCCCCTTCAGATTTTTGGAAAGATGCACAGCATCGGCACGAAAGGCAAGTTTGCAGTTCAAGTGAGCCCCTTGCACACTTGAACCCTAAAGTAGGTATACATGAAACACATAGGGACCTGAGTATACCCTATATCCCGACATGGACCCTTTGGGTCCGTAACCTCACTTCTGAATCCTAAAACCTAAACCCTGAATCCTAGACCCCAGACCTTTTGGGTTACCAGGGGGTCAAACGCTGGCGCAGCCTCGCCTCACGCGACCCCAGTCCAGATGGAGGTGTGCTTATCGGACTTGATCCTAACCGTACGGGTCCAGTATACCATAATCATGTGAGCAATAGTCTAAACTCCTTGAAGCGGATTATGTAGGGAAGGTTTACAGGGGTTATCAAGGGGGTATTAGAAGTTCAGACTAGAGCTCATATGCTTCTGGATCTTACCCCAGTAGTCGTGACTCAAGGTTTGTGGTACATGACAAGTATATACTTTGGACCCTTAGGGCAAGGGCTTTCCAAACAAAGCCGGTGTTGAGACAGGAGGGGTCGGATGGTGAAGTGCACGGGGCTTGGTTCGGAGTTTGGCAACCCTAAACCTTGAACACCTCATGCTGGGACGGAGGGCCTTGAATTCCTGCATCGAGTAGTTTTGTGCTGGTCTACATACCCTGTGCCACATTCTACCTAATTATTGGACTCAACTCCCCCTAGGGCCAATGTAGGCAGTATTTACCGTCTTTGGTATCATTTATGTACGTGGATCCCTTATATGTACAGTCTTTAGGGCCAAAAGTAGGTTATTTACCTGCTTGGATCCTCAGGATCAGCTCTAGCAATGACAATTTCGAGTCTCCCAAACGACCCCAAAACATAGACCTAAGGTTCTGGTACTGTTGGCTAAATACCAAGGCCCTTCTGGGGTACCCTTAAGTTGTGTTAAATTCCTGAAGCTCCTCTCAAGCCCCCCTTAGGTCCTAACAGAGGGGTTAGGAGGGTCTAGGAAATTAGACAAATGGGTGGAAGGGGGTTACTTGTTGAGTTTGTTTTTAGTTCTTCCGGGCGCAACTTGAGGGAGCTGGCCAGAGTCTAGCTTGTAAGTTCGGTTTGTGCCTTTTGGACCGGGCGCGCAGTTAGACGCCTGCTGCAAGAGGGAACGCAAGAGAAAAGAGACACTAACACATTATTCCCTACTAGTGGTTTAGGGGCCGAAATAGGCAAAATTTGAAAAACAAATACTTGGACAAACTGGCGAGTGGAAGCTGGTTTGGGCTTGTTTAGAGGAGAATGGAGATGAAAAGAGGATGCAGCATGAAATGTCAACTGGGGCTATACAGGGGTGGATGCTATTCATATTGCTTATACTAGAAAATCTGCATGAAGTCATGGTACGAACTTCCATGGTTTTCAAGGTTTACGGTAACTAATGTTATGCAGGATTTTCGAGCATCAAGCGTCTACCACCCGAAGTTTGCAGATCATGGCACCCTAAACTTACCTTTGGTTAGCTAGGAATGAAGGAATGGGTCCTTCTAGTAGTCCCTATATGACGCATTGTAGTAGTTTCCATTTTCTCTTCCATTCCTTCATGGCCCGCCTAACCCTAAACCCTATAGGCCTCAGCCCTAAACAAGCCAGGCAAGCTGTCCAGGGGCTACCTGAATCGCCTGATGGCCAAATCTACACGGACGGAAAGGCAGGACGCAACGTACTCTAGAAATTGCATAGGGGTCGGAGTACTTACCAAGATTGTGGCCCTACATTTCTTGTAGAACTATGATATAGTGTACCTCAAACAGGCCTCAAAGTAATGTTGGTAATTAGCTAAGCTCCTGTAATTTGCAAGCCAGACAATTACATCAGTCTTCAGAAGCAATTTTCATAGGAACAATCCCCCGTTGCACTTGAATTTCAACTCAGCATGCGCTACTACACGTCATACATAGATTTGTCTTTCACCCGCCTTTTTGCACCAAGCATGCGGAAGTTGGTACAAAGTTTAAGGCATATTGAAATGTCAGAAGAAGATGCTGGTTCTTTACGAGTGCTTATGAGCCATGGTGAACTACATATTGTAACCACTGGGAGAAGCTTCGCAAGGTTGTGACAGGGAAAGGAGGTGATGCTTCTCATGGGCCTAGGTTTAGGCTTTCTGCCTTGTGAGTAATTATCGTATCTGGGGCAGGGTAGAGTCCAATGTAAAGCAAGACGACCCTGGGAAAACACTACCTACTAAACTCCAAAGTAAGCAACTGTTTGGTTTGCTATTGAATCCTGCTGGGAGGTCCTTTTGACTCGGTGACTATACTATCTGAGCTGATAACCTTGGTGGCTCGAGTTTGGGATTTCTCTAATTTAGGTGTAGCTTTTTGGGGGTCCACATAACTAGGATTCTAGTATTTTGGGGTCTAGAATGGGGTCCCCCTATTTTCGCAAACTATCATTTATCGTTTTCCTCAATGGCTTCAAGAGGGCTGCCCACATATCTGTAGGCCTAAACCCTGAACCCTAAACCCTTAAACCGTGTTCATGTTAGTTTTCATTTTCTTGTCCATCTGATTTTCCAGGCTCAGCCCTGCTTGCCTAAGCTCCCAAACCCCTGAACCCTCAAACCCTGAATCCGAAACTCTAAACCCTAAACGGTCGTTTCCATTTTTTCCATTATCCCAATATGACC